GGCTGGAACTTGACTAAGTGGATGATACCTGGTGAGGAGGGGAGGGTCCAGCCATCACAAGAGCTCAAGAACTGACATCCTGAGTCAGGTCCCTGGGTTCCATGGCTGGGAAGAGAACTGATGCCTAAAAGTTGTCCGTTCACCTCTACACACGTGCACTGGTATGTACACACCAGCCACACATACACACACTCACACACACACACACACACACACACACATACCACACTTTCTCACAATACACTCATGTACAGACACATACATACACACACACTCACACACACTAAACAGAATTTTTTTAAAAAAAGAAAGAAAAGTAGATGAAGAACACCTGTGGACATGGCCACAGGAACTCTCTCTGAGCCTGGGGATATTTTAACAACATCCTCCAAAACTGAAAAGCAAAGAGAACAAAGGTTGAAAAGCTCCAGAGTGTCTGAACACTAAAAATGTGTGGAATGAACATGAGGGGAAGTAAAATGAAGGGAATGAAGGGAAGAACCAAAAAAAAAAAAAAAAAAAAAAAAAGAGACGTTTCTCAGACAGTATTAGGCACCAAGCAAAAACATTGAGAGAAACCAGAGATGATGAAGCATCCAAGCTAAGTCCTCCAGCCAGCTCCTCTGCAGACACCCTGCCAGCAAGGAGAGACCAGAACGGAGAAACTTAGACCAACAAAAACTGAGGAAAAGTATCACTAGCAGACTGTGCACAAAGCATTTAGAAAAAGTGTCTGGGGCCCAGGGAGATGTTTCATTTGCTAGTGTGCTTCTACTCAAGCAGGATGACCTGAGTTTGGACCCCAGGCACCATGCTTAGGGGTGAGGAACAAACTTCACTTCTGTAACTCAGTTCTGGAAGGCAGACACAATGAGCATCCTTGCAGTTCAAATGCCAGCCAGCCTAGCCAATCAGTGAGCCATAGAGTCAGTGGGAGAGCCTGTCTCAAAAAAAAAAAAAAAAAAAAAAGGAGCCACTGAGGAGTCACATGATGTTGACCTCTGGTATTCTCTCTCTCTCTCTCACACACACACCCCACACACCCCACATTCCACACACTGTCACATTTAAAAAGAAGCTTGTTTAAAAAAAAAAAAAAAAACTACAGTGCTAGAGGTCAGAAACTTGAGTCTACTTTAAGAAAGGAAAAGCCTTTGAAGAAGGACTAAGTCAAGGTCCAAGTTTTAATTGTATTGTTTTAGTTTTTGTCTATTTTGTCTGCTGACTAGGTTTTACTTATTGAGATACAGTCTTGCTATGTAACCCAGGCTGACCTTAAACTCATGACTCCCACGCATTTGCCTCCTGAGCGCTGGGGTTGTAAGTGTGTGCTATCACACCTGGTTCCTCTTCTAATTTATTTATTTTGTTTGATAGACAGAGTTTCTCTGTGTAGCCCTGGATGTTCTGGAACTCACTGGCCTCAAACTCAGAGATCTGCCTGCCTTTGTATCTGGTTGTGCATATTTATAACATGTATAAATTATGTATGTGGTGCGGGTATAAGCGCAGTCAATAATAATGACACAAGGTACAGGAGGGAGGAATTTTTTTTCTAGATAGACTCTATGTAGCCCCAGCTGACCTAGAACTTATCATGTAGACCAGGCTGGCCTCAAACTCACAGAGGTCTGCCTGTCTCTGCCTTCTGAGTGCTAGGATTAACGGTGTGCGCCACCATACCCAGCTTTTTTCTTATTACATTGTACTATATTACAGACGCTGGCTCTGATTGCCTGGTCCTCCTGTGTAAGCCACTACATCTGATCACAAGGTGTTTCGTTGTCTACAAGATGACATAGTGTTTGTGTTGGGATTCCTTATGGATGTACTTTGTAGATCCTAGGGCAACCACTAGGCAAAGTTAAGAACAAAGCTAAAGGTGCCAGGGTAAGGGAGGAGGGAAAACAAGAGAATGGAAAATGCTCAGAACTGAGAGGGGAGAAGAGGGAAAACTAGAAAAGGAAATGGCATTTTTCAAAACTCAATTCCACTCATGATAAAAACAAAACAAAGCAACAACAAAAACCTCACCATCAGTAGAGGTTAGGGAGATGGCTTAGCAGTTAAGAGCACTGGCTGCTTTCCCAGAGGACCCAGGGTTCAATTCCCCAGTACATACGTACATGGTGGCTCACAACTGTTACTCCAGTTCTAGGGGATGTGGTCCCCTCTTCCCACCTCCATGGGCACCAGGTATGTATATGGTAAGCAGACATCCATGTATGTAAAATATTCACACACAATAAAAACATCTAAAAAATAAAATGAACATAATATGCAAAAACCTCCTGAAATGCAATGGTAAGAAAGCAGCTGAGGACTGTGAGATGGTCCAATGGGTAGAGGCACATGCCACCATGACCCCTGGAAGTTGTTCTCTGAGCTGCATACTCACATGGCGGCCCACCACAGCTTCTCGGGAATCACACACACACACACACACACACACACAATTAAAAAAAAAAGGTGAATAGAAACTATTCAATTAAAAACAAAAATGGGCCAGATACTTTAGCAGACATAAAGAAGATATGCAGGTGGCAAACAAATTTGTATGTCATCAGGAAAATGACAGTCAAAATATTAACCCTACTGTGTGATCCCACTGCCCACCAAAGCCAGAACACAGGCACTGCCAGTAGGAACATCAGGAACTCCGGTCCATAGGAGCACACAGCCTTGGAGCCATGTTACTTGTGATATGTTGCTCGTACAAATAAAGCCCGTCTGGGGGGCGGGAGGAGAGAGTCAGAGAATGGAGCTTCCCATAGCTAACCATAGAGGTTTGGAGGTCTGTACAGACAGACAGGAAGTGAGGTAGCTGGGCAGAAACAGAATATAAGGAAATCACTCTCCTTGTCTGCTGAGATGCAGTAAGGTGTGGCGGTGGTTTACTCCTTCTCTCTGATCTCTTAGCGTTTTCCTATATATTCGACTCTGGGTTTTTATTACTTAGATCAATTAAGAACTCCATTTACAGTTAGAAGACAAATTTTCAGATATTTACATCCCTTACCATGTGATTCAGCCATTTCATGCCTTGTTACCTACAGAATTTGAAATCACATGCACACACACACACACACACACACACACACACTCAACGCTTATAGCTTTGCTCATAATTGTCAAGACTTAGAAGTGGCAAGGATGTCCTTCAGTAGATAACAAAGGTGTACTGTGGTACATCCAGATGACGGAATATCATTTGAAGCGTTACTCTAATTACTCTTAATCAATAAAAACCAGGTAAAACCCCAGAACATCAGAGAAGTGGGAGGAGCCGCCAGTTGCTTCCTACTTGTCTTGATGGGGTGGAGACAGGATCTCACTTTTTTGGATAGCAAAGAAACCAGTAGGAAGAACTGGCGGCTGTTCCTGCTTCTCTGACCTGGGTTTTTAACCCGATATCTGACTCCCAGGTTTCTACTGACTAGGATTAATTAGATTAGTGCTTCAATCATTCTCAGCTCTAAAAAGTTTTTAAGCCACAGAAAGACATACAAGAAGCCTAACTATGTGTTACATGAAAGAAGCCGATGTGAAAAGATCACACACGCCATGAGTCTGATTATATAATCATCAGTCTTGTCAACTGAATGCCAGCACTTTTTATTTCATTATTTATTACTTTAAGACAATCTTGTGTGGCCCACACTGGTCTCAAATTTGCCGTGTGGCCTTTAAGTTGTCTCCTGAGTGGTGGAGCGGCAGGCCTGTGGAGCCTCATCGGGTTTGTGCTGTGCTGGGGATCGAACCCAGGGCTCTGGGCCTGCTCAACCAGCACTCTACCCCCTGAGCTGCAAGCCCTACTCTGTAAGCTTTAGTTATCAGTTTGCCCACTCTTAGTGTTAGCATCTCAGCCTTGGGTCCTTTTGCTTAATTCCAGACAGAAACCAGGAAGAGGCCAGAACCCTTGCAGAAGAGGCTTTACTAGGGCCTATGCTCCTGCCTGGTTGATGCAAGCGTAGAGCTCTCCAACTGGTTCTTGAGGACGAGGAAACAAAGCTTTGCACACAAGACGGCAAGCAGGCACGGGACACTGTACAGGACCCCAGGATTTCTCACACAGCGCGTTTGTTCTTCAGCCCAGGCCAATGTTGATCTTGCACTTGACATTACTGTCCTGGCCTGTGCATTGTTTTGTTTGCCTGTGACTAGCTCCCAAAAGATGGCACGAGAGGCAATATCTGTGACTGCCAGGACTTAGGAGGAAAAGAGGGGTGAACAGGCAAGACACAGAAGATTTTAGGGCAGGAAAATTCTCTGTGTTGTCTATAATGGTGTGTGTGTGTGTGTGTGTGTGTGTATGTGTGTGTAAATCACTGTACATTTGTCCAAATTCACAGAATGTACAATGCCAAGAGTGAACCCTAATGCCATCATGAACCTTTGGTGCACAAAATATCTGATAAAAGTTCGGCAGCCTAAACAAGTATATTGCTCTGGTGGGCAATGTTGCTAGCAGGAATTCCTGCACCTATGTAAGGGCAAGGGAACCATGGGAAACCGTTGACCCCACCTCAATTTTATTGCGAACCAAAAATAAATAAATAAAGTCTATAAACAAGGTTTTAAACTTATATAAAGTGAGGGGCAGGCATAGTGGCACATGCCTTTAATCTCAGCTCTGATGGGGGTGGGGGGTGGCAGAGGCAAGTGGATGGCTGTGAGTTCAAGGCCAGCCTTGTCTGCATATCAAGTCCCAGGACAGCCAAAGTTTCACAGGAAGCTCCTGTGGCTTCAATGCATTGGCATCACTGCTTCACCAGTGAGGTGGTGGCCACGACAATCCTGTCTCAAACAAACAAACACCATACATATATATGAAAAGCAAATACACGTTGACTGCCTTGAAGCTCCACTTTTGAAAGGGAACCTTTCCGGGCAGTAGGGAATACATGGAGGAAATGCGTGGATACACAAAGGTTCTGACGACAATGTGGCTAGCTAATGAGCAGTATTAATCTACCATTGTGTCTGTCCCTTCTATGCAGTCACTCCAGCTTTGCCCAGGACAGTACGAGTTACTCCCTGCTCCTGTTTCCAAGAGTTCTTCCAGGTAACTATAAGCCCCTTGAATTAATTTGGAGCTCACACAGACCTCATTATGTACCAATCTCGGTGACTTTTAAACCTTACCAGGCACTTCATGTCCAGATTAGTGTCTTAAAGTATTTAGTGGGAGATGAGCAATAAATTAACAACAATCTTCATTTAACAACAACAAAAACAGATTTAGAAAACTGTTTTTTAATTTTTCTTTCTTTTTTTTTACATATAGGAGCTTCGTATTTCGTTCGGCGGTTCAAAGGTTCCCACCAAACTATTTCACACCTGTAAGTAAAATGGACTTGATGATTGCCGCTAATGTACCATCATTTTGCTCACACAATAGTAAGCTGTGAATGAATGATTAAGGCAGGTATACAAGTTATACATGCTAGCTACAGTCTACATATCTGTGACAAGATACCTGCCCAAAACAACTTAGGGGAGGGAAGGGCTTTATTTTGGCCCATATTTCAGAAGCTTTAGCGCATCATGGTGGAGAGGGTGTGGCAGAGTTTTTAGTGGCAAAAGCACGCAACGCTGGCTTGTCCACATCGCGGTCACATTCACAAAATGCAGTGCCAAGTGCAAACCCTGATGTCATTATGGACCTTGGGTGCAGAAAAAGCAGGCCAGAACCAGAAAGGGGTACACACTTTAAAGGTCTTCTCCTAGGGACCTGCTTTGGCCAGCCAGGCCTTGCCTCCTAAACGTTCCACAGCCTCCTAAAATAGTGGCCCAAGTTGGGGACTGGGCATCTAATACACGAGCCTGTGAGGGACATTGACTTTCGAGCCACATTATTCTGGAGCTGGACCCTCGAGACTCATGGCCATCTCAGAATGCAAAATGAATTTAGTCTAACTTCACCCTGCCCTGACCCCGTGGACCCCGTGACCTCAGCAATCTCAACACTGTTCACAGTCTTTTCCGATGCTTGAGGCAAATTCTCGGCTGTGAGGTCCAGTGAGATAAAAATACAAGTTATGTATTCTCAATATTCAATGGCACAGAATAAAGAGTCCTACTCCAAGGGGATGAACAGGAACACAAAAGGGAAAAATCAGACAAAAGCAAGACCCAAGCAGAACAAACATACCGGGCACGTACGTAATGGAAGCCCCTGGGCTCTCATAGGCTAGAGTTCTCATTTATATAGCTTTGACATTTGCAGCCTATGTGGCCTTACTGCAGTTTTCCTTGGCAGACATTCCATGCTCATGGCATCTCCAGCACCCTGGGGTCTCTGTTACAGCTTAGGCTTCACTTCCAGAGCTTTCTGCCCAGCCCTGTCAGGGGCTACCTCTAGGGAGCACAACTTTGCTACACAATGCCTGGCCATCCGGGTTTTTTCTCTGGAACCTTGGTGCAAGCCTTGCTGATCCATCACTTTTGCAGTCTGTATGCTCACAAAACCAGAGCCATGTGGATAACAATAAGCTTTTCTACCAGCCCTAGAGGAACTACTGTTGCCCTGGCCTCCAAGTGCCTGTGTGGATAAATCTATGGGCAAAACACTCAGAAAAAGTAAACTTGGCACCCCATTTCCAGGAAGGCACTCTGACTCTGTTTAAACTGAAAGTCTTTTGACTGTGTTTCTAGTTTTGCATCCTGACTCTTTCAATAACTGAGGACCTGTCCTCGGGGCATCTTTCCTATTGTCCCAATGCGAAGTGCGTGACCTCTCCCAAGTGTCTCCAATCTCTCTGACTTCTGTTGCTTTGTCTGTAGCACTTGCTTTGCCTACAACTTCAACTGTATTCACACTTCTTTTTTCATCAAACTGCACGTTTTCAAAATCCCTCTGCTCTCTCTTATTGTAAATCTAGCAAAAACCAGTAAGCGGCAACCATGTCATAGCCTGGCTGCTGTTGTTTGGAAATTTCCTCTTCCAAATTAATTAGTTCATTTCTTTTTTCATTTGGTCTCACTTCAGTTTTTCAGGACATGGTCAATTTTTAAAATATTAATTTTCATTTTGTCAAAATGTAACACAAATGTCGGATTCCTGACATATTCTTGTTTCTCCCTGAAATCTGCCTACCATCTGCATGTCTCTCATGGTCTAGTGTTTGTCTCACCCAAAGGGCCCATCATGCTCTGTGCACAGATTCAAGGGCATCTGTAGCATGCATCTCCAAGTTCCCACATTGCTCTTCAGAACCAAGCCCCAAAGCCTGAGAACTGCAAGGCCAAGTTCACCTCAGCAATGATTCCAATTCTCAGGGCCGATTTTCTGGGGTGGGGGGGGTGGGGTTGTTGATTTTTATTTTTCTTTTAGTTTTTATGGAAAATATTCTTAGACATATTTTATGTATGAGTATTTTGCCTGTGTGTGTGTGTGTGTTTGTGTGAGAGAGTGTGTGTGAGCACATACCGTGTACGTGCCAGTTGCCCATAGAGGTTAGAAGAGGACACTGTATCCTCTGGGATTTGAGTGGTAGATGGTTGTAGGCTCCATGTACATACTGGGAACCAAATCCTCTAGAAGAGCAAAGGACTTGAGCCATCTCTCCAGCCCATGTTGTTTTTCCTTGAGACAGGATCTTATTATGTAGCACTGGCTGGCCTGAAACTCACTGTGTAGACCAGGTTTGGCTTGAAAAATTGCTGTGTAGACCAGGATGGCCTGAAACTCATTGTGTAGCCTTCCTTGGCTGTCCTGGAATTCTATGTAGACCAAGCTGGCCTCTAACTCAGAGATCCACCTGCCTCTGCCTCCTGACTGCTGGAACTAAAGTGTGTACCACCGAGCCAAGTACCATTTTTTCTGTATCAGCTGCTTTTCACATTGCAGTGACTAAGACAACTTAAGAGAGCCCACAGTTTCAGGGGGGTTTTAGATCATCATGACAGGGATAGTACATTCACAGAGTGGCTCCTTGGAGTGGGAGTGGGTAACGGTGAATCTCCACATGGCACAGGCCAGAAAGCGTAGAACAGGCCGAGAGTCATGAGCTAGTACAACCTGCAAAGACCTGCCCCTCTGTGATCTACTCACCAGCCAGGACCTAGCCCCTAAAGGCTCCACAGCCTCTGAAATAGTGCAACAAGCTGGGGACCAAGCACCTGGAACATGAGTCTGCAGGGGACATATTTCCAGTTCAAACGCTAACAATGTGTTTAAATAGACCCACTGGGAACTTTATTATGGATACCTCATTCATACACACACACACACACACACACACACACACACACACAGAATGTAATTTACTATATGGGACTGTAGATTTAGCTCAGTGGTACCACACTTGCCTGGCATATGAAAGGCTGAATCAATGGTACCTAAAAAAAGAAAGAAAGAAGGAAAGAATGAAAGGAAGGAAAGGAAGATTTACAATATGGTGACTTTAATAACAATGCTCTATACTGTTGGGAATCATGTATAAAATATACTGTTTTCACATAAAATGATAACTATGAGGTAATGTATTTATTAATTATCTTGTTTTTTAAACAATACTTTATTTGTATTTATTGTGTGTGTGTGTGTGTACATGAGCACATGCACTAAGTGCACAGATGTTGGGGTGTCCTTGGAGGCTAGAAGAGAGAGTCAGACCCCTGGAAGTCCTGGAAGTGTGGGTTCTAGCTGGTTGTGAGCTGACTGATGTGGGTGCTGAGAACCGAACTCAGGTCTCCTGGAAGAACAATGACAGGTATTAACTGCCGAGCCATTTCTGTAGCCATCCTAACAACGATTATACACAATGCCAGTATTACACTTATCCATGTAAAACAACCAGTCCTCTAAAAATCATTACTCTTTATGCAATTCCAGAGTATGACTGGTCATTAGACTGAGGAAAAATGATTAGATGTGATTTCCTAAAATATTTTATTCTCATTGAAAATAATACTCATGTGTCAAATGTCATTTGATGCCATCAGTCGTAACAAACAGCAGGGCTTTCTCTGTCCCTTCTGCCTTCTTTTTCCACTTCTTCGAGGGTTATCATCCTTAATTATCATAGCTATTTCTTCTGGTATATTCTTGTACAACTACTTTTTAAAACTTTAGGTGTGGTCTCTCAGTTCTCTCTGTATGCAGTATGAACTTGTAACTCTCAAGCCTCACCCCCATAGCATTTGATACATTTTGATTTTGATCCCTGTCAAGCCATATATTTCTAGGACTTTCCATATTCTTGACATCAATAACTGCTTTAATTTTATTTAGTTTGTTACTCCAGCTTCATAAAACAAAACAAACAAACAAAACCAAAACAAGAAATTCTTCCTAGAAACACTCATAGGCATCAGATACTTCATCAGTTGCTTTTATGTTTTCTCCTGTGGAGCGCCTCTCTGCCCTACCCGCAATATTCTGCTGTCCTCTTGTAGCCTAAACAAATGCTTTCTAGGCTCATGCATGGTCTTTCTGGAACATTCCTTCATTGATATCTTGGCTATGCCTTGCTGCATGCCACCACCTTGGTAGTACTCACTGGTTCCCCTCCTTCTAAACTTGAAGGCTTCACATGTTCCCAGTTCTGTAGCACCATGAACATGGGAAATAGCATAAGACACTTGACTAACATTTTTCTGCAAGTATTCTGGTATGTTTCTTTTGTGGCCCTGGTCTCTTCTCAGACACTAGTTTATCCCTTCCATCTCCTGAATAAAATCACATCACTGACTTGGAACACCCTGTCCAAAGGGAAAAGAATATGTTCAGGAAAATGTTCACAGGCAAAGAATTAGCCCGGGGCTGTGATTCATGTCTATCCTGAACACACATTCCTGGAACAGCTGTGGGTTTGGTTTAGGCCCATAAACTTGTAAGCTGCCTAGAGCAGAGTCCTTTGATCTGAGCAGTGGAAGAAGATAATGGCAGAGAGGTGTGAACGTGGTAGCACTGAATACTTTTGAAGTGTTGTGTGAATGCTTGTGAGGTGTGAATGCTTATGAAGTGCGAATGCTTGTGAGGTGTAAGCGTGGTAGCATTGAATGCTTGTGAAGTGGGAATACTTGTGAGGTGTGAATGCTTGTGAGGTGTGAGTGCTTGTGAAGTGTGAGTGTTTGTGAGGCATGAATGTTTGTGAGGCATGAATGCTTGTGAGGTGTGAATGCTTGTGAGGTGTGAATGCTTGTGAAGTGTGAATGCTTGTGAGGTGTGAATGCTTGTGAGGTGTGAGCATGCTAGCACAGAATGCGTGTGAGAACTTACTGTCAACCTTCTCACCATAAATGCAAGAACTCATGCCAGATACATTCACAGATTCTCTTTTGTTTTTTGTTTGTTTTATGTTTTATGTGACAGGGTTTCTTTGTGTAACAGCCC